CTGCAAGGCACTGGGTGAGCACGCGGGGCCCCCTGGGGGCGGGAGGTCGCGGGGGTGCTTGGAGAGTGCAGCCGGCAGCTGTGTGGCTTTGGCTGGGCTGTCCTGTGTGGGGTGGGCAGGGCTGGGTTTGCGTAGACCCGTGGTTTAGGGTACACGGTCAGGAGGTCCGGTCCTGGGGTCCTGGGGTCCTGGGGTCCTGTCCCCGTCGTGGGCAGCCCCTCTGCAGGATGAGGAGGGCCGCCTTCTCTCTGCGCCTCTCCATCTCTCCCCTGCCCTGCCCTGCCCTGCCCTGCCCTGCCTTGCCTTGCCTTCAGTGTTCCTCTTTGCCTAACTCAGATCCTTTCCCCACACCGCCGAGGTCGCCCACACCGCCGAGGTCAGAGTGGGCAACGGCACGTGCTCTCCAGGGGAAGCGAGCCAGCAGGCCACCTGGCAGCATCGACCCGGCCGAGGCGCAGCATGCTGGGGAGGGAGGGCTCTGGCCCAGCCCCCTGTGGGGACAGCAACCCCCCAGCAGGCCCGACCTGAGCATGGTGGCCATGGGGGGGCCTAGCCCCCACCCGTCCTCCACTGGCTCTGGGCTGGGGAGTCATCCCAGGGAGTCCTGTCCTTGTCACTCGCCCGTCCTGCCGTGCCCGGCTGTCTCCGTGTGCTCCTAGCTGCCCGGGTCCCCGACCTGGCCTGCCTGCTAGCCTAGGTCTGCCGCCAGCCCCGAGACTGCCTCCCGGGCCCGGCTCTGGCCCCGGCCTCGCCCCCGCCCCGCCCACAGGTCCACATGCAGGCCCTCGCCCGGGGTCCAGAGTGGAAGGTGGCCCCAGAGGAGTTCCTGTCCTCGGCCACAGCAGGAGAACAGCGGGGCGGCAAGCTGGGCCGTGTGATTGCTGAGGGCCTCCAGGAGGCGGCGGTGGCTGTGGTCAGGCTGGGGAGAGGGGTTCTCTGCCCAGGGCCTGGCTGGGCTGCCTGGAGTCGCCTGAGGGTGGGGCTTAGCCCTGCCACGTCCAAGGCCCAGCAGCCACATCCTTCCAAAAGCAGGGCCCTCTGGAAAGTGTGGGAGGGAGCCCTCGGGCCAGCACCTTGCAGCCAGCACGAGGGTGCGTGGCCAGGCCTTCTCGTCGGGCCGTGCGGGTCTGGGGCCGGGCTCCCAGTCCTCTGCTGCGGGGCGCACTGCCGTAGCCTGGGACCGAGGCAAGCCGTCCCGTCAGTGCGGCGCCTGGATCTCCCGGAGGAGCCCACCTGCGGGTCGGGCCGGGGTGGGGGGCTCGCCCTGTCCGGTGGCCTCGCCCCTCCCCAGCGCCCTCTTCGCCTCCCGCAGTCAAGGAGAAGCTGCGCCTGGACCCCGACAGCGAGATCGCCACGACGGGCGTGCGGGTCTCCCTCGTCTGCCCGGTGCGTGGGCGGCTCCCCTCCCTGCGGGCATGCCACCGGGCGTCCCTGGGCAGCGTTGGGCGGTCACCCAGGCGGCTGGGGGTGGGCAGGGCCGGGCGGCGCCTCTGCGGGAGGGCCCCGCTGACGCCCGCCTCCCACAGCTGGTGAAGATGCGGCTGTCGGTCCCCTGCCGTGCGGAGACGTGTGCGCACCTGCAGTGCTTCGACGCCGTCTTCTACCTGCAGATGAACGAGAAGAAGCCCACCTGGATGTGCCCGGTGTGCGACAAGCCGGCCCCCTACGACCAGCTCATCATCGACGGGTGAGCCCCCGCCGGCCTGGCTCCCGGGGCCGCTGCCAGGCATGCGCGGAGGCGGCATCTGGGCCCTGGCCACCCATGGGAGCCTCTGCTGGGGGCTGCCAGAGCCAGGGGCTCTCGGGGCCAGTTGTCCCCCATCGGATGGGGCCTGAGAGAGGGGGAGAGGCGGTGACACCCCAGGTCTCCGGGTCCTGCTCTTCCTTTTCTCGGTGGCCCCCATGCAGCCTGCTGACCCCGCCTGCCCCCCCCAGGGGCATAAGGGACACAGCCTCGCTCGAGGCCTGTGTCTCCAGAGACCGAGCCCTGTTGTCCCAGGCAGTGGTGGCACCCAAGGTAGCCTTTGCCAGGCGTCCCCAGAGCCACCTCGGAGCCTCAGGCGGGGCGAGCAGGGGCCCCACCGCAGCAGCCAGGCCTGGCCCCGCATGTGCTCAGCATGGGTCATGGGGCAGGGAAGGGGCAGGGGGCTCTCGACCACGGGGGCCAGGCTCTGCGTGGGGATTCAGTTCGTTCCCCGGATAGATCCCCCAGCCCTGGGCGTGTCCTCGGCCCTCTCTTTCTTCAAGCTCAGAGAAGGCAGCTGGCAGCCCTGGACCCCTCTCCTCCTCACAGGTGGCCAGGCCGGGGCTCGAACCCAGGTCTCGCCAGTTCTGAGGCTGGGTCCCTTCTCAGAAGGATTGAGCCACCACCCTTAGCTGTCCGACCTCAGGGCGGGGTGAGGAGGTCCCTGGGGCTGGGCACGTGGGCTGGGCCTGAAAGGCTGCTCTGTCCCCGGCCTGGCAGCTGGGTAGCACAGTCCGCCATCCCCCACAGGCTTGGTGCAGGCGCTCGGGCTCAGCCTCGGGCAGGGCTCAGCCTCGAGCTCTGGGGGCCTGTGGGGCTGGGGCAGGTGTCCGAGTGTAGCCCAGGAGGCTCCCTGGAAGAGGAGTGCTTGGTTCATGTTTATTCCAAGAGCTTCGTCCACCTGCTGGCCCTGGTCAGGACGAGCCCAGGGTTCCAGGGCAGCTGCCCGGCAGGGCAGGATGCGCAGACTGAGCCCTGCGCTTTCAGTCAGGGGAGAAGGTTGGGGCGGGGTTCAGAGGCCCGGGGTACTGTGGTGGAACACGAGGGTTGCCCGGGCAGAGCCCGGCACGGTGGGTCTGAGCGTAGCAGTGGAGAGGCCCCAGGGTGGGGTGGGCTGGCCAGGGCAGGGGCTGTGGCGCCCTCAGGCGGGGTGAGGGTGTGTGAGGGCCGAGGTTAGGGTCGGTGCAGTTAATGAACCCAGGGCTCTGTAGGTTGCGACTTGCGGAAGCCAGTGGGCTCCGCTCAGGCCCCCAGCCCCCGCCGCGCCCGCCTCTTCCTGCGGATGGGGAAGCCGAGCCCCGTGGCCAGGAAGCGGTCGGGGGCGGAAACTACACCGGAACTGGGCTGCTGACGGCGGGCCTGGACCCCGGGCCACCCAGCCCTTCCCCGCCTGTCCCCTGAGCAGTGGGCAGCTCGGCACAGCCTGGGTGCAGTCGAGGTGCGGCTGCCGCTCTGCCCAGGGCCTCTCCAGGGCTCGCCCTGTGCGCCTCTCCCAGCCGTTGGGGTCCGTGCACACGCCATGTGATGTGAGGCTCTCACACGAGTGTGCACACGCAGTGCCTGGGGTGGGGCTCACGCACCGAGTGTGCGCACACCATGCAGATGGGGCTCACACGCGAGTGCGCACACCGGCGGATGTGGGGCTCACATGCGAGTGTGCACACAGCACCTGGTGTGGGGGTCACACTGAGTGCACACACCGTGCGGATGTGGGGGTCACACACAAGTGTGCACACAGCATCTGGTGTGGGGCTCACACGCGAGTGTGCACACCGTGCGGATGTGGGGCTCATGCACTAAGTGTGCACACACAGCGCCTGGTGTGGGGCTGGGGCCCTCCCAGCCTCATCTTCGTCCTCTCGTGTAGGAGTGGACAGTGTGGACTTGGTCGGAGGGAGGAGGGCACTGCCTGGCCGGCAGCCTGGCCCTGCAGCGTGCTCAGGAGGGGCGGCAGCAGGCCCTCCGGCCCCCAGGGCCCCCCCTTCCACTCGGGCACCAGGCGGAGGCAGGACCGCCGGTTACACGCGCCCAGCCGGCCCCTCGCAGTGGCTGTGCCCCTACAGAACCCGCAGGGCTTGGGGCGAGCTGCGTCTGTGAGGGACCAGGCGGGAGACGGGAACCAGGCCCTGGTCCCTCGCCATGGCCCTGGCTGCGGCCTGGAGCCAGGTAGCAGAGGAGGGCAGGTCTGGGGGCAACGCAGGCCTGACACGCTCCCGGCTGCTCTCGAAGATCCTGAGTGAGTGCGAGGACGCGGACGAGATCGAGTTCCTGGCAGACGGCTCTTGGTGCCCGATCCGCGCCGAGAAGGAGCGCAGCTGCAGCCCGCAGGGCCCCATCCTTGTGCTCGGTGAGTGCCACGCCGCCCGGCCACCCCGTGTGTCCCCTGGCCGGGCCGCCCCGCCCTGAGCGCGCCTGCCCCTTGTGCTCCCGTCCCCACAGGCACCTCGGACGCCAGCGGGCTCCTGCCCCCGCCCAGCGTCAACGGCGGGGCGCTGGGCTGCACGGGCGGAGGGGGCATCGCGA